TGCTGGGGTGTGTTTGTGTTTCTGTGGAGAGATGATCAGTGCAATAAATCCTTCACAGAGCCAAAGTAATGTATGTGATCAAGGTGTTTGATCAGGTTTTTAATACTTACTAGATGCTTTACTTCTTAGTAGTCACCATCCCCTAAATTACTTAGGCTTACGACTCAATTCTAGTACAGGTGTAAGTGCTAGAAGCTGGGGCAATCAGATACCAACTAGGTACCTGCCACTAAACCTGAAAAGGAACCTTCTGGAGTTAAAAGCCTGTCAGCTTGGCTTTTCTTATGGTAGGAGAGATATTTACACAGTCCCCTTGTAATGCAATAGAGAGAGATTTGTTCATTTTTCCAAATGAAGGGTCTTGAACCTGCATATCCCATATTACCATTTTGCTCACCAGGTTACCTATGGGGCTGGTTTGCCTCTGACTCAGTGCACTGTTGTACAATTGAGCAGACGCTGAGAATACACCACCCTGGGCCATGCTGGGGAGCATGTTCTGGTGGTGGTAGCTATGGGCTTTCGACCAAGTTCCAGGTTTAAATGAGCAAAGACGAGATGCAAAAGCGTCTTCTACCTGCACAGTGAATCCCACAGCCATTCCTCTCTTGAGCTGACAAGCATGTCTCAAAACTTTAGGCACCTATCTCACAATTCTGAGAGTTACCTTATGTTCTCTCTAGACACCTCTAGAGAATAATTTAGATCTTGGTCTTTCTGTGATGAGTACAAAGAAGTCTAGTGTGACCACACAATTAAAATGCCTCAGTTAACTATCTGGAGTTAAGGAGGAATCCAGGTTCTGGTGCCTGAAAATAGTCTCTAGAAGATGTCATCCTTGACTTCCAGGCTGAACTTAACCCAACACACATGTTTTAAGTACGTCTGCAGGCTCTGTTCTATGCATTTCATAGCTGAAGGTGTATTATTTTGATGGCTTCATCAGGGCTTCAGCACTGAACTGTTCTAGAGGCAGGGGAGCCATGCAGACAGCCATCATTACAGGGTTACTAGACCCTGACTCCTCGTTACTGCAAGAAATGACGCAATGTGGAATTTAGGACCAGCAACGAGTGGAGCAGTAAGACCTGTCATGATTTAACCTTTTACCACCAGCAGAAAATCCCCTTCTATGCATGTATTTTATAACAGGGCAGGACACAGTACAAAAAAGATGTCGAAACAGGATTTTACAGTAGCTAATAGGTACCATTTGTTGTCAAGAGAGCTCAGCAAAGGCCCTGAGATTTAAAAACCAACCTGCCTATCAGTCCACACAATCATATTCAAATTGTAATGACTCCAGTAAAAACTTCAGTAAGAGACATCACATTATTACATATGAAAATCTGACTGATTATTTTAAAAGAAGCTAGCTGTGGGCTAGATCATGCTGGGTGCTGCCTTGTCTAATTACTTACAAGGTCAAGTTTTTAAGGATTGTTTTTCTATTAGTTTAAATAGGGATTATCAGGTTTCTTTGAATATGCTGGAGTCATCAAAGCTATTGTAACTAAAGCATTAAAGCTGTTATAACTAAAGTCATTGATGATTAACAAATATACAAAATCTTTAGAGATGGCATGTGGAAGTAAAGGAAAAAAAAAACTGCGGAAATAATAAAACTCCTCTGATGTATAAGAAAATTTGACTACCATCTGGGGAGGCTGCACAGTCATTATCAGGCAGGGCAGCTCCTTAATCCCAGAGAATCATAATGGAAATATGGAAGTTGATAATGATAAGTGGGGAAAAAAAAGAAAGATAAAAAGACATTTTCAGAACATTGCGAGTGAGAAACTGCCAAACACAGATCTGGTCTCCAAACCTTGGCAATATCCCACGACATTTACTGACTTCAAAGTCCAACTTTAGTTTCTCCCACTTGATCTGCAGTGAGCTATTTGTAACTGGTCTGACTTCACCAAAATGTGTCTGAGGCATTTTGATTCCTTACTTAAGGGTTTTAGTTCTGCAGTATTCACTCAGAACCTGCCCAGCATCCTGAGAGCAGCACTGGGACAGGTGGTGCAGGCAGACACTGCATTGCCTGACCCAGCTTGAGATGTAATATTGAAAACACCACCTGCCATGGGAATTTTATCCCTGTAATGAGGTGTGTGAGGGAATGCCTACTGCAGTGACTGCATGCAAACACAACTCATCTCACTATGCTTGGCAGGAGCATGCAGAGAAGATCCCTCCCTTTATTTCATAGAATCATAGAATAGTTAGGGCTGGAAAGGACCTTAAGATCGTCAAGTTCCAACCCCCCTGCCATGGGCAGGGACACCTCGCTCTAAACCATATCACCCAAAGCCTCATCCAACCTGGCCTTGAACACTGCCAGGGATGGAGCATTCACAACCTCCCTGGGCAACCTATTCCAGTGCCTCACCACCCTAACAGGAAAGATTTTCCTCCTTATATCCAATCTAAACTTCCCCTGTTTAAGTTTTAACCCATTACCCCTTGTCCTGTCACTACAGTCCCTAATGAAGAGTCCCTCCCCAGCATCCCTATATGCCCCTGTCAGATACTGGAAGTCTGCTATGAGGTCTCCATGCAGCCTTCTCTTCTCCAGGCTAAACAGCCCCAACTTTCTCAGCCTATCTTCATACAGGAGGTGCTCCAGTCCCCTGATCATCCTCGTGGCCCTCTTCTGCACTTGTTCCAACAGTTCCATGTCCTTTTTATGTTGAGGACACCAGAACTGCACACAATACTCCAGGTGAGGTCTCACAAGAGCAGAGTAGAGGGGCAGGATCAGCTTCTTCGACCTGCTGGTCACGCTCCTTTTGATGCAGCCCAGGCTTTCTGAGCTGTGAGCACACACTGAAGATGTCTCATGTTCATTTTCTCATCGACCAGCACCCCCAAGTCCTTCTCCACAGGGCTGCTCTCAATCTGTTCTCTGCCCAGCAGAGAGTCAGCTGAAAGGGTCTGAATTCTGCTTCTCATTAGAGTGGCTCAATTCTAGAGGAAATCAAGGGGATGCTGAGTAGGTGCTGTGTTTCACAAAGACCTCAGTTCAGATTTCAGTTAAACATATTCTTTATCTGCAGTTCAGGGCTACTTAGTAGTGTACCTTGCCAAGGCTGTTGAACATGGAAGGGCTGCCCACAGCTGCCAAGGAGCTGGCCAAGGAGCCAGATGAATGAACCTAGAAAAGGTTCAAGTCCATTTCAATAGAAGCCAGTGCTGCAGGAGCCCTTCTTGTGACCTTCTGGGTATATCCTGCCCATTTAAGTTAAAGACTTGGGTAGATTTCTGGACACTTGGCTGTAGGTACTGGCCTAGACTGACACATGTAATGGTGTTTAGCACCACCAAAGCACAGGCTGGCAATGCTAAAACGCATAACATGTTTTTACTATGTAGTTAGGGCTTTTCTGTTCAGTGGGTAGCATGAAGGTACCAGTAAATACTGCAGGATATGCACCAGCACCAACACATTGGTATGCCTGCATTATACACTGACTGTTCTTTTTTTAGGATTTACACAGGTAAAGATGGCAGTGGATTTTGAAAGATGTATTTCGACTTGGCAAAGGCAAGCTACAAGAAGAACTAAGTGCTGGTGCAAACTAAGCACTTACCATGGCACAGCTGTTTAAAATTCAACTGAGAAAATTACTGTCCTGAAGAAGAGGCTTGCTCTACCCTTGCTTCACTGGTAAATCTTTGCTGTTAAACTGACAAAAACATCGAGATAATAGCATTGGTATTTTGAAGAGTCAGCTTGAACTTGTAACCATCATCTCTCAGATTTCCAAGAGCTGCTCTGACTATGAAACTAAAACTTCTTGGGTCATCTGAAAGAAAGGCTGATGTGGAGTAGAGCAGGTACAGATAGTCATAACAGTGAGGTAAAACAAGCCAGCTGCAAGGCTAGAAGGCAAACAAAAAGGTAAGATTATATTTTCCATGTGAGCCTACAGAGGCTTGTTTAGCAGTTTGACTCTGTGCCAAATAGCTCACTGCACCTCTAAAAAATTGCTTTACTCTAAAAAAGTAATCTGAAAGATCCCTGGACTGCAGTCAACTTAATATCACACATATTTGCATCTTCAAAGCATTCTCTTTGGCTCAGCATAGTAGCAGAAGCAACTACAAGGGGTTATTTCAACCTTGAGGTAATTGGATGCCCCACTACCCCACCCACCAAGCAAAGAAATTGACTTTGATGTCCCTTTAATATGTCACAGAACCGAAAAATAAAGGCCTTATATTTAACAGTGTGAAAGAGATTATTCTAAAGATTAACATTTTCAAATTAATACTAAGTGTAAATTGGTATTTGTAGTCCATCCTTTCAGCACCTGGTTATATTTGAAATATACCATCTCCAATGACAGAGCTGACTTGTCAAGGCATTTCCCTACAAATAGGAAAATATGTTTTATTACAGCCAGTTATTCCAAAGACACTCACTGAGATGAACTTGATCATGGGTGCCATCTGTCCTGCAAGGCTCAAACCCAAATCGCTGTTCGACACCTATGCAGTTACGTGGAGATGAGGAGTTATAACTCATTGGACACGGGTACATCATACTGCAGCTTCAGCTGAAGTTTAAAGGAATGCAACAATAATAATATCTGAGATTGATGCTGTGTGTGTCGGAGTAGCTATCATCTATCTATCTATCTATCTAATCATATCTATCATCTATCTATCTATCTATCTATCTATCTATCTATCTATCTATCTATCTATCTATCTCTTTCCAGCACACTTTCAGTCTCTCTACTTGTAGCTGAAAGAATACTCTGCTTACAGGCTAAACTCTGTGTGCCACTTAGCAGATATCAGGGAACACCACTTCCTGGTGTATTTGTTCCCCAACTTGATTGTTTCAATCCTACTACCAGTTCCAGGGCCATTCATGCCTGTATTAGGAGGTGGAACTCATCTTGACAATTAGGTCCTATTTTAATGGTAAGTAATGGGACTAAGGTAAATATATGGAGGGAAAAATTCTGCATTATCAATCAGTCTTAATATAGTAGGAACACTTTAATGGTTGTTCAGGGAAAATGTCACAGCAGACATGATAAATCTAGAGTAAACCATTGATAGCAACACGCTCACTGGAATTCAAACATGGTAATTTTTTTTATTGTCTTAATCTGTGAATTTCAGTGTTATTTGCAAGCAATGCTTCCATGTCGATCTCAGCTCTCCTTTCTTGCATACCTACAAATGCTAGATGTATTTTAAAATTAAATAATGAAAAATGTACATTGGCATCTGTTTTAGTCTGCCTGTTTTAGTTTTCCCTTTGTTTATTCCTAATATTACATGGATCATATATAGTGTTGGAAAAACTCATTCAAATAACTCCTTTAAGTAAAGATCAATTTGCCAGTGGCTTTGTAGAGACATATATATGTACACAGACATGTAAAAAATAGAAAACACACAGGAAAATATCCACTTGATATGACTGAAAAACATTAAGATTTAGAAAACATTAAGACATCTGGGTGTACAGCACATATAAACCATATTGTAGTGAAAGCAGAAGTGATGATTTGCACATTTGCTGATATCAGCTGCAGTATATCAAAGTCAGCTTGTTCCTTTTCATCATTACAGCTGAAGCTTCAGCAATAGGCTTTGATTAAAAAAAACCAAACCAAACATAAAAACCCAGTTTATGCTTTAAAAACAATTGTGTACAGAAAAATAACAATAACAGCGTGTGGATTTAAACGAGCTACACAAAAAATCTTAACAGAAGCAGAATTAGGAGCTTTGCCAGTATTGCAGAAAGTCTCCTAAGTTAGATATGTCAAATCCTCTTTTGGAGGATCTTCGTATCATCTAGGGAAGCCAAACTCCATATTGCATGACAATTTCCCATCATATCTTCACATATCTTATCTGAAGCAAGAATGCACAAAACTTTAGCTAGGGATACAGACTGTGGTGAGTGTAAGGATCTTTGGCAGATCCCAAATGTGGTGTCATGAATTTCTAGTCCTACTTCTATATAGGTGTAGGACTATACCCTGTGTGCTACTAAGGCCCATAAAATGTGATTAGTTCTGTGCTTATTTGTTTATTTACTTACATTGCTTGCAGCTTCCTTTCCCAAAGACAGCAGAAGCTAGTGGAGGATTATACGTAAAATTGTAAAGGAGGAAGCATGCCTCAGAGCTTGGTGGATCCTTCATTAGACTTGTACTTACCTGGTTCTGACTCCTCTCTCTAGTGTATGATGGGAGAGAGAGGTGTCTTGATTCCCTGCTCCATGGCTGGATTCATAAAGATACTGAATATTAAATGGATAATTAGAAGGCAGAACAGTCTTATGGGTGCTATTAATTCATCACCTGGCTGCTAAGCCTTGATCATGCTTGGTTTCCCATCAGGGCAACACAACTGTGAATGAGTGTGCTGCTGATGTTGTGGAAGGAGATCAGCAGACAGTTCCCCCCTGAAGTAGTAAAACCTTTCTTTGGGGTTTCACTCAGAATAGGTCTGCAAACATCAGTGATGTAGCTGGGCTACAGCATGAAACTGGCATTCAGAAAAGGTCTTGTCCCTGCTATGCATGAGACACAGGCAGTACATTATGCTCCCATCATATCACGCATTCCTCATGACAGATTAAAAACCAGATCCTGAACTTCTTACGTGTGCTTGCAAAGGTTATTTTTCTTCCATTTGCTGTTCTGGTTTCACACATTGGCAGTATTTTATAATAAATCATTAAAGAAATGACAATTCCATGATGGGAGAATACTTGCTTGGATTACAAACCAAGGTAGACACTGAAGCACATATCTAAGCAGTATTCCTGCATATGGCCACTCTCCTAAAGTGACACCATAAGTAAGGGTTATGTTAACATATTCACTACATTTACATGTTACATCAAGACAATTATAATCAGTCTCAAGTCTAAGTAATCTATCTCTAGATTAGCTTTCGAACATGCAAAAAATAGAGTAGACATCTGTTCCATCTAAGGTACAAAGAAGGGGCGTGTTTTCACTAAAAACACTGGAGTTCAAAACTTGTCATGCTCAGTAAAAGGCTAATAGGCATTTTCAAATTGTATAAACCAAGTCTCTAAATAGAAAAGGTTTGATATTGAAGGGGAACCCATCCACATAAAATAAAACTCTTCAAAATGGAATGTAGCCAGCTTCTAAATACATTCAAATATTACAGTGTCTCTATAAATAGAAAACTAGATAGTGCTGAAGAGCTAAAACAGTCCTTTCCAAATAGTTCAAGTATATATATTTCTTTTTCTTTACTGTCGTTAATACACAGTTGCTTGTGCTGCAGCTGTTCTAGCCTTTGGCAACAGTTCAAGTAACTTCTCCTCTCCTTTGCAAACCTCCGTCTTCCATTTTGACACCACAGAGTTGCCAGGCATACCTTGATTTCATAAAGTTTTAGCGAAAGTGCCTTGTGTCCCAGACTGTTGGTGTCTGTACAGCCAAAGAAGCATGTCAGAAATTCACCATGGTCTTTCACTACTTTTACTCATGTAGTGGCACATCTCGAGTCCCAGCGCTATATTCAGCAGAGGCTATGTGCTGACAATCTCCCTCTTACTTGCACAGAGCCTGCTGAGAAGGATTTCAGAATAAACTTGATTTATTGGACCTCGGACATGATATGGGGACTGTGAATTTGTTGCATAGTCCTGCAGTAGTGATGGCTTGCTTTGACTGCCGAAATATTTCCCCAGCGTGTACTGCCTTGATAACGTCATTGTTATGTGTGGACTTTCTTCAGAGGGATTGGATTTCACCACCTGCAAAAGAAGTGACATATGTGAGTGCTTTCTGCCTGCACCTAGAAAGACAGATACACAGCTGTGTGTACAGAAATGCTCAGACAGTTCTCCACAAAGCAGATCCTGACACTCTTACTTTGAGCTGCAATTTCCTCACAAACTATTTTAGTGGGACAGCTTGTTATGTTGTATACTAACTAAAGTGCAAAATTTTATTCACTTGACCCTTGAAATCTAAATGTGTAGGCCTATTATACTCAGTTGGTTGATTCCGTAATGCCTTTCTATACCAGACTCTGTTATCTTCATTAGGGACAATTTATCTGAACAGCAAAATTCAGAGATAATAGTTTGTCTGTATATTTACCATGGGGAAAAAGAAATAAACTTAAGACATCCCTGACTTGCAGGAAGGTTTAAATCCTGCTGTGATCCCAAGCACCTGAGGAACACATGCTGTGTTTCGGGTGTGATTCCTGTGAGAATGTTTCGCTCTCAGATCTTGCTGCAAACCTGGCCCAGCTCCATGTTAAGATGAAAACACTCATGTCATGTTTCTCCAAGAAGGGAGTTACAGTGCAGTTTAACATCCCTTTCCCCAGGGCATCACCCTCACATAACCACAATGTGGTTCAGTGATTTACTACAGAAGAATTCTCCTCCTTGTCTCCCAAATATGCATATATTTTTAGGATTATCATGTTCAATCTGTATGGAATAAACAAATGGCCATGGGACTAATGAGAGAGAAAGTGAAAGGGTTGTCAGCAGAGTAATGACTGGGGGGGGTGATCTGTGAAATGCTGAAGGTCTCATCTCAGTAAAAACACAGTCATTGATGAATAATGAAGCAACTTCAAGAGAGACAAAACCTCAGGACCTAGCACAGTTGCAGGACAAAGGACCCTGACTCTGGCATTGGCAAATGCAGACAAAGCAGAAAAGGGGCCAAGTGGTTAACCTATTTCAAAATAGCATGTTCACTTGGTAGCTCTGATGCCCATCAATTTTCTGACTTGATCAATCACAGCAGACATTTGAAAAAGCAGACTTCACTTATTAATGCACATTTTTATGCAGAAGCATATTCACTTTTTAAAAAGATCATGTATATTTAGGGTTACTGAACAATCAAAACCGATGTTCGTATGTAATGAAGCTCTTAATTAATGAAACGATTCAAACAAAATTAAATGTGAAGGATTAACATGTTCAAAGGCTTGAACGACTGGGCAAAAAGGCTATGAGGGAGCTGGCTGAACTAAAAAAGACCAAGAATTATCCACATAGAAAATTAATATATCCTCTGATCAATTTGATACAGCTAAGCCAAGCACTGTTATTTGTTTTCATGCAATTACTGCAGGTTCATTTTTCTAAATTGGTGCCTTAGATCTTACAACTACTTCAGAACGATGCCACCTTGAACCAATCACCCAAACTGCATTCCTGTTGGGCATAATCTCCCAGGAATGCAATCTATTATTCATCCAGCAGCCAGGCACTGACTGAGATACCAAAATCTCAAGGTTGCTAGTTCTTATACTGTGACCATGAATTCGTTGTCATTCAATTAGGAAATAAATTTGAATTAAAATATAGGTTCCATAAAGGTCTTTATAATTGCTGGCCAGTGTACTTCTCCATAAGCATTTGTGAAGAATCAGGTAATTAAAAAGTCAGGTTTGCATGCGTGCATAGACCTAGAAGGATGTTTGGGCAGAAAGTGACAGACATATGAAAGATCTTTTGTCCTAGATTGGTATAATCCTTTGGCAATCTGAGTGAAGATTGTAGGTTCTACAGAGCTGTGTATTTCTATGCTATCAGGGTGACCCAAGGCCCTCTGAAGTGGGTTGGTGGGAACTCACAATAGTTTCTCAGGACAATTGGGAGAAGTAGTTTTCTGTTTGGCCAGCTAGTGAGAATTAAACAAGAACTGTGAATGCATTTCAATTCCTGTTTTCTGACTGCACAGAATGGCCAGCCCTCCATTCCCACATGGCCGTGCTTTAGCTCAGATGGCATTTAAAGAGGGGTGCTGCCTTCTGCAAGCTTAGGAATAATTTTTTTAAGAGAAAGAAAGTGAAAGTACAAAGCAGTAGAGTTAATCTATTTCATCTGGTTTCCTAAAACATGAAAAGTGCTGGTTTTACAGAGTGTTCTTGGCTCTGTCCTCGAAGGCAAAATTCCATTTTCATAGTGCAAACTGCTTTAGCACCTGATGAAACTCCACTTGCCAGGGTGCAGAAATAAACTGATGACAAAACTGTTAAAACTAATGAGGTATCAAAAGCATTCAAGGACTTTCTTTCTGCTTTCCTCAAGGATCAATTCTGGTTTTTTGGTTGCTGATGTATTCTCTCGAGCACATCTATGCTTCTCTCAGGCACAACGACCTCTCAAGCCTCATTAACAACAGCTCTGTGAGCCAAATTCTCCCCTGATCCTCCCCAGAAACACATACTCTCTGTTGAGATTCCTCTGGCAGGGAAGCAAGGACAAATCTGCACATGAGCTCATACTAAATGATGGAGGAGTGCATGAAAAATGCTGATGACTGATCACGCCCTGCTGTTTTCCACCCAGTTCCATACAAAGCAACTGAAATATTTTACTTTGAAGCTCCCTGTTTCACTTGAAAGCTCTGTGGAAATGGGGAGCACCAGCAATGACCCATGAAGACATCAACATCTGGGTTCTAGACAAAAAAGAGTCAACACAGATGTCTGAGTAAAATGGAAGGCGGCATTTACTCCACAGGACTATTTATCCATTGCATAAATATCTGCTCGGTGCCTTGCTCCTCTTTTCCAGCTCCATTTGAACTGAGCTGTGTTCGTGCCTCTCTCACAAACTGAGCAGAGTAGATTAAAGGATTGTTAACTAACCACGCCTGCTGTGTTTGGCCCCAAAGCAGGACAGAGGCCATGGCAATGGGCTGAAAACACGTGAGTTGCTGAGGAGCCTGAGGTGGAAACCAGCTGTGAGGCTGACACACAGCACATGAGGTCAGATGGGTCTGATAATGCTCCCACAACTGTGCTTAGTCCCAGTGAGCCTCACACTGGAGAACAGTCCCAACCAGTGGCAGCTCATTGTCTCCCCACTCTCTTTTGGAAATACATTGTTGCCTGGTATTTTGCTTCTGATATTATATATCTGTGATACTTAAGGAGAAAAATGAAAGCCTTAGAGTTATTAATTATTTTTATTCTGCTTTATGTAAAGGTGACTGCTGCAGCTGAGAGAAAATAGCCAGGGTTGCTATGCTAGTCCTTGGCCAGCAGACACCACAAGGACACTCTGGAGCCTATGCTTGAATTTTACTATCATCACCACTGAGTTTCAGTTTGTTTCATTTAAAATACTCCTAAGTTTAATTAGCCACAGTATATTTTGTTTTCCAGTATATACTGTGGGCGCCTGATGAAGGAAACCTTATTTTTAGATTTTTGCTTTTTTTGGCTTTTTATGGAAAATATATCATAGCTGTCCTGACATTTCTTCACAGCAAAAATTGGTGCTTCCACTTCAGTCTTGGTCTCATGGCCCACCTTTGTACCTCTGAAGCTCTATGGAGCTTCTGTGCTAACCCTGCCCAAGTCCAGATCCTGGGAACAGGCTTGGCCAAGAGTGAGGCTTACACAAAAATAGGCATGACTTGGCAAAATAAGCAAAAGGATTTTATTATTCTCTCGAGAGATTAAGAAAACATTTGGTGGTATCTCTTATTTGAATTCAATTGTTTTGACGAAAAACAAATTCTAAGTTCATGCTGGAAAAATGCTAGCCTTTCACTTGCATTGGTGATAGTCTTTTTTAATTTTTATGCACTTTTGATAGCTCTAATTTTCTCCATAAGACATAACTTATGTAGTTCTGTCTTCTAAATGACACATCAACTTGCTTGTGCCATTTTTAGTCATTAACCAAAATCCTGAGATTTCTTCTAAGCAGTAGCTTCTTACAGGCTCAAAGCCCCCAGCTGACTGTGGAACACCATAAATTCATTAACTCTTGACATCAAAGAGACATCCTGCTTTGTATTCTTTTTTCCTTTCAAGCTTTTTGGTAACAATTTCTTCTCATTCTATATTTCATTCTATAAAAGAACTTGCACCTGCCATGCCTAGTTTGAACACCCAGAGGAAATGCAATCTTCCTGAAAGATACAACAGTTCAAGTTTTATTGCCCTAAACAGGTTTTAACAGAATAAATTGTGATAGTTTTCTAGTCTTTTGTAAAAAAGACAACTCAGATCCGATTAATAAAAATGAAGATCCTTGTAGCTTCACAGGCAATCTCCCACCCTGTGAAACATGACTTTAACTAAAGAGTTAGCAGAAAGCTTCTCTGTCCTTATATCCAGCAACGAATTGAGGCTTGGGACTACTGACAATGTCTGAGTGCACAATTCCAGTTTTCACAGAAGAAATATTTTTACTGTGAATCAGGTGCTAAGTACCTAGAGAGATATGAGCCTCCTTTATTCCTCAAAGCTTTTTCAGGTTTCCAAAGGGCGTAATGTAAGATTCATGGATCTTTTCTGGGGAATGAATGATGTGTTTGGATTCTCAGCAGACTGACCGCTCATAACAGGAACCTGGGAACTGGCCATTTATACCAACAAACTGGTGTCATGGATATGAGGAACAGCTTGGTTGGAAGCTGTAGGGAAATCTGGTGGTGTCGGTGGCAGTTCTTTTAACTATCATATGCAAAATGACTGTCATCAGCCTAATGGTAGATGCTCACTTGCTACTCAACAATTATAGCCTCTTTTAATTCAGAGTCACCTACACTAAACCAGGGGTGCGCTTCTTCATTTGCTATATATACATAAGGTACAAGAAATTCCAAATTGAAACAGATCCTTCTTTTGCTGATGGGGAAGAGCATTCACTAGAAAAAGACATACCAAATACTTAAAATACATCTTAAAGGAAACCAGTAAAACTTTAAATATCTTATTTTTCAAACTCTTTACTTTCACTGGTTTGGTAGTCTCTTGGCTGATTTTGTGCCTAGATATAATAATGTGTTTGCTTATTCATTTTTTATTTAATCCATGGACTCCTGTCATTTGTAATATATTGTGAATATTCATTGCCAGAGTTTCAAATGAACAAAATAATATATTCTCAATTGCCCTACTCATATATTTTCAATGTCTTTGTTTCACCAGGTGAGTAATTATAAAACAGAAGACAGAATTTCTGTAGATTTCAGACAAAGAAGAAAGGAGAACTATGGGCCCGAGTGACAACAAGTGACTTTTACACTTCTATTTGTATACTCAACCACTATAACTATCCCAGATAAATCTTTCTCAGACATATGAAAACAGATCTACAGCAGTAAGACTGGTCTTTCAATTTTAAGCTCCATTTTAGATGTACCCATGGTTTGATGGGAGTCTGCTGAGCTGCTCAGTTAGGAAGCCTTTAGACAAAACCTGTGTGACAGAGGTGTGGCAAAAAGATAAACTGAGTCCATACACAAGTAGTATCAATATAAACACACAGCAAATAATACAACAACCTGGAAACCATGCAACATCCTTTGCAGAAGAGCACACCTGATTTTATTTCAAGGAATCACCACTACAGCAGTTCAGCCTGTCCTTGGGTGTCGTTGCACCCTGAGCAGCAAGGGACAAGTGCTGCCATACAAACTGCTATCCCTGAGGTTTAAATTCGGGCCTAACTTTGAGTCACGGATGCAAACCTCATTGTGTACAGTTTTGTTTCTAAGCACCTGGCAGTTAAAATCTCTCTTAAATATCTGGGAATGATACAGGTGTAAACTATTACCTCATGGAAATGGCAGCCGCACTTCCCTTGCAGGAATTCTTTGTAACGTCCCATGGTGATGACGAAGGTGTCAACAACTTCATAGCCAAAATTTTTTGCTGTATCCAGAATAACCAAGTTTTCATTCCACAGGTTTTGTATTTCTGCCTGCATTCCAGACAAAATATTGCAGTGTCTTGTCAGAAGGACTGTTTAAAAGTTTCTGTATTCTGCCATGGAAGTGAATAGCAAGATTGCATTTTGAGTAAAGCAAGTATAGAATCATAGGATCATAGAATAGTTAGGGTTGGAAAGGACCTTAAGATCATCAAGTTCCAACCCCCCTGCCATGGGCAGGGATACCTCACATTAGACCAGGTCACTCAAGGCTCTGTCTAACCTGGCCTTAAACATTGGCAGGGATGGAGTGCTCACAATGTCCTTGGGCAGCCTGTTCCAATGCCTCACTACTCTCTCAGTAAAGAACTTCTTCCTTATATCTAATCAAAATCTCCCCTGTACAAGTTTAGACCAATTACCCCTTGTCTTGTCACTACAGTGATGAAGATTCCTTCTCCAGCATCCTTGTAGGCCCCCTTCAGATAGTGGAAGGCTGCTATGAGGTCTCCATGCAGCCTTCTCTTCTCCAGGCTGAACAGCCTCAATTTACAAAACCTGTCTTCATATGGGAGGTGCTCCAGTCCCCTGATCATCCTCATGGCCTCCTCTAGACTTGCTCCAACAGCTCCATGTCCTTTTTATGTTATACTCCAGACATGAATTACTATATATTCACTCTTGAAAACAGCTATTACTTCAAGGCTGTTGTAGATTTTTGCAGGAATTATAATTACTTTTCAGCAGTTGTGAAACTTCTTTCATATGAAGATTTCAATGCTGTTCATAATTATTGCATAACTGTTTTTAATACATACTTAGCTAGTGTGAAGTGTAAAAAAAATAAAAATAATCCTATTATAAAGTTGTCTGTAGTGAATGGTGAAATTGTTCCTGTAAATTAAAATTCATCTTCAAATCAAACTCATTGAGATTGTTGCTTAAAAATGAGTATAGGGCCATGGGCATCTTAGAAATTATTACACTGAAGAACTGATTCTTATTTCTAAGGACGATGCAGGAAGGCCAGGAACAGAAAAATGTTAGCCATAAATTTGGCAAAGTGGTGGATTTGACAATGCAGACAGAAGGGCTTTGAGAGTAGCTGGCGTAATCCAGAAGTCCAGAGCACCCAAACCACATGGATAAATTAGCATGTGATTCCAGTATTGAAAGGGAAGAGAATGTAAGTTACGCTGGTCAATGTAGTTGACTTCTGGAGTTTCATAAATTTACTGGATAAGGAACAGAAAAAGGTAAACCTGGGAAACCATAATACTCCTTCTATCCTTGCCTCACCTTCCTTTGATCAAAGTTCTGCTTCTTCTTCCTAGGAGTGAACTCTGCTGAAAGCCATGGGAGAAGCCATGACATTTCTTCATGTTGATGCCAACAATTTCCCTACTGCATCCTAATTTGGTCATCCAGATAAATTAAGGAAATGGTTGGAATCAATAAGAAGACATTCAGTAGAGACAAGGCAGATAATACTAACTTAGACAGAAAGAATGGGGAAAATATGACAGGGCAAAAAGAAGGGTGAGAGTAGCAGTAGGTCCTATAACAGTGTGTTATGGTTGCAAAACAATGTAGGCACCAGTCCCCAGTGTGATAGGAGTGCTGTACTTAAACTATCAAAGCAAATAATTTTCTCTTTTCAACACCTGTGAATAGCTGGAACATTACACACAACTCTAGTAGGCACCATTTACTCCTTTCTGCCCTCCAGCTCTTCCCATCCCTGTGTCTTCCACATACTTTCTATGGATGGTTCAATGGAGAACCACTCTTCAAATTGTAAATAAAAATATTGAATTGAATGTGTTACACAGTGCATTGAAATGGGCTCATCTGTTACTCTGACAGTCCTGGATATGATTTAAACTGACTGTAACACCCCATTGACATACAAATAACAGACTAGATTCACCACTACATTCCAACTGCTCTGTAATGTTCTGGTTTCATTGGCTGGTTAAAATGGATTTATGGCTAGCTGTGCAATGCAGGCAGCCCAGTGAATCTGATCCAGCAGTAACAACAAAGGAAGCCTGAGAAGGGCCCATTCTCAATGTGGTATGAGGACAAATCTGCCTATCCCCGGCTCAATTTCTCGTCTTCAGTGTCAGGCTTAATATTGGAGCTTCTTCTGGTTCTTGGGATGGCTGACTGAGCATGGCTGTTTGAACAGTGGTGGAATCAGTGAAATACAGCAAATTGGTTTGAATCCACATTAGCAAGCAGTATGAGCAAATACAAACATTAATATTTCTTTGATCCATTTAAAGCTTGCTCAGCAGAGGTTGTAACATATTTTGACCGGACAGTAGAATTATTGCTGAAATGGCAAGTCTTCCACGAAAATGCACTCTAAAGGTACTGTAGCTTACCTGTGACAGAGAATGTATTCCATCCACTGGCAGGTGAAAGCCCATCCCTATGGATTTGATAATTACCAGGATATTTGACAGATTTTCCCTGTTTGCAAATTAAAAAAAAAAGGTCATAGATTTTACTTAACAGATGCATCAAAAGACATTGCATTTTAGTGTCTTTTTCACTGAGTTTTTCAAAGTCATTTAAGTGCACACACATGAGAAAACAAATGATTTGTTAAGTTGGTTTTTGTAATTTATTATATCAAGACTTGGAATAATACCAAGTACATAGCATTACCTGCTCAACACCTTTTGGATAATTTGCAGATGATTGGAATTAAGCCACTGAACACCACCTACAACTAATACAGTCTGGTCTGTGTTCTCCAGGGGACGTGATCTGAAACCCAGAAAGGAAAAACAACACATGTTGCCTTAAAACAGATGGCAAACATTTTAACTGCTTTGCATTGCATTTCAATGAACTGTATCTGGTGTGCTGATCAGAGGCCTGATGTCATTTTCTACTATTTTTCAACTACACAATACAGTCTGCACACGTTATGTTTGTTTACTGACTTTACTTGTAAAGTCTGTTAAACCCGTTTGTGACTAGAATGAGAATACAAACAAGCTGGCAATAGAGTTTGTACGGTACCTCTGCAGCAGTTGTTCTAGGGCTTTTTCAAAAGTCGGTCTCTGGTTTGAGCTCATCCAAAACTGGGGGTAGTAGGAGTAACTGATGAATGTTTTCCCCTCGTTGATATTATGATAACATTTAACATCATGAGTCTTTTGCCATTCCTGAAGAGTCTTATTCACTCTTTCTATTAGATAGTACATCATCCCTCTGTTAGTTGAGTCACCTATAAAGAGAATCTTTGGATGGAAAAGGAGAGGACTTAGAAGTTATACACTCCAAAACCCAAAAGCTAAGAAAAGAATATAGATAATCTGAAGGTCTTTTAAACCCTTCTCATAAGGTTCTAGAAATATCACTGTCAGCTGCCAGCTCTTCAGCCATGACATCTCAATATTAAAGTTCCCCTTTAGCAAAAACTGTGTGGTCTGATTAACAAAAAGTTATATTTCAAAGATGAAAAGTACAGATTATAGATTACTATAGCTGCACAGCCCTGCATTTTTCATACTTGATCATTTCTATTGCTTAAATTTATTTCAGCTGCTAGTACAGAGACATCTGTGGTTGCTTGCAGCTTCCTGCTTTCTTTCGTCCATTTTTTTATGTGGTTTGTTACTACACAGCATGTCTTCATTAAAATGTCTTCCATAAACGTGATTCACCAGAATTTACACCAAAGTAACACATACACACACACACATACACAGAGCTGTTGACTTTTTGTAGAGATGGCCTTTCTGCAATTTCAGGGGGGGGCAGAAAAAGAGGGTTCTTTCAGTGGAAGACTTGAACAGAGTCCTGGCGTGTATGACGTGACCAACAGGAAGCATTGTGGCCTTAAGGGAGTTAGAAGTGCTGTCAAAAAGACAGAAGTACTTCAAGTATAGCAGTTTTCACTGGGCAGCTCTGAACCTGCAAGTGAATTAACAAGTCAGACTGGGGCTTGCCCCTACTCATTCTGTAGACTCCCCTGAGAAATAAAACATCTCTGTATGTGGAGACCACAGAATTTAGTGTATGGGATTTGTTAATGTAATTTCCCTATTTTTAGTGGCTAGAACTAGCATTTCCTCCTGCTGAAGATAATATTTAAGCAATGACAAGAATCCAAAGGGCAAGAGAAGCCAGGTTCACTGTGGTTTGCCAATGAAACTGTGTGTGTAATCATCTATTACCACTATCACCTCAACCAGAAATTCACATAAAGGAGCATAAATATAAAACTGGGAGTCAGAATCCCCACAGAGTCATGACACAGTAACAGCCCTGTTTTCTGCACAGCAGTATGTAACTTCTACCTCTGGCACTCAGAGTAGTTGTCACGTTGTAAGATGGATTTTGTTGCTTGGTATTTTAATTTGATTTGGGGCTTGATGGTTTACCACTTCCACCTTGAATATTTAGCTATGCAAATAAAATTCAGTCTGCACAAGATTACGTGTTTAAGAGTACATTTTCAAAGCTTCTCTTAGAGATTTTATGTGGTGAAAGCATCTTGGACCCCTCTTATCTAATACCTCTCTATTTATCTATTACCTTCAGGAATGTCAGTTTTAGGAACTGATTCCAGTTCCCAGTATAAACCTATTCTGATTAAAAATGAGCCACAACAGTATATCAACGATGGTTCCCACAGAACAGAAGCAGTTTCAGATGAGCATATTCCGATCTGGCAGCAGGGTCAAGAATGGGCATGACAATGGCTTGAATTTCCCAAGCCTTGCTCACTGTGGGCTGCAGAAAAGCAAACAAAACGAGCACCGGGCACACAGAGGTTTTTTTACCTCCTGTCCTGGACCTGTCAAAGCTGCTTCACAAAGTAAATTCTTAAACAGCTGCTGTTCATGCTTGTGTCGCACAAGCACTTCTCTTACATGCAAGGGGATTTCCAAATCTTTCCCGTTATGTCAGAAGAAACCTTTTTAAACTGAGCGCAACATGACTCACAGAAGTTAGAGATCCTTGGACCCTTGGAAGGACTGGTTGGATATTCACTCTTTCCCTCTCTGACAGATGTGAACATGCACACAATTATTTACAATTAGGAAGATAGTCCACGGTTATGATATGCCTTAATTATGAAGTAGGTTAACTTGAGGTTTTAAACAATTCTTTTAACTTGCAAAATCTCTTAATCTCTCCAGTCTGTCTATAGCCATGTCTTTTTAATCTCCATTTTGTAAGTCCATCACTATATTATCTAAATGTATATCTATTTTAAAAGTAGTTCTCAGATATTAGCAGGCAAGGATATCATTAACTTGCAATGTGCGTGAGAACATTGCTGTAATAACACAACACAGCATTAGCAGAATAACAAACAGGCTCTACTAGTTCATACACATAAAGCAGTTGGTAAAACATGCTGAATTGTTTCTCTTCTACTTGTAGTAACATTGATACCATTTTGTTATCGTTGCACATAAGGATTTTGCAAAGGAGCATTTCAGCTATTAACTGCACTGATTTGGCAGATGTGGCATTTTTATCTCACTCTTCATTCTACCATGACTAAGATTCTGATAGATACTTTTCTCCTTCTAACTGTATTTGGTCTATTCTCATCTACTACAGATTTCAAATAACAGAATACCTTTCATGGGAAAAAAGAAGAATCACAGCCAAGACCAATGAACATGATGCACAGATGTTTTGTTTTGCCAACACTGTGCATTCTCTAGCAATTTAAGTATGAAGCATCACACTCAGTATTTTCAGTCTCAGACATTGCAGAACATCAAAGACTGAGATTGACTCATCAGTCTCTTTCCCATTTTTCTCATTACGTTTAAATTAGAGGAAAACAACCCTCCTTCAACACACACTCAATTTACACTATTAAATACTTCGGTGTTGTAGGGCTTTACAATTTCTACATCTGCACAGCCATGCACACATAAGCAATGGATCTATGAATGAGTTTTCAAGTCTGCCCTGGGATACCTAGCTGACCAGGTCTGCAGATGGGAAGTCACTATGTGCAATCATTTAGAAAACCAGTTCCAGGAGAGACAACTTAGCTATGATCACATCCTAAAGTGGCAGATCTAGACTGGAGGTGCCATGATGCTGGGCATCATATGAAAATATCAGGTGGGGCTTAGAATAGTACTACTGTTGTTGTCCTGATATTCTGAGAACATGAAGGGGGTGAGAGGAGTCAGAGGAGGTTCCTTTAGAGCAGTCAGTATAACTGCAAGAAACAGATAACTGTTAGGGCCCACATATACTTCTTCAAGTATTATCACACAACTGATGAGACCTCACACAGCCCATCTTTGAAGGAGTAAGCTCTGAGTCTCAGAACATTTCCATTTTCACTCTTAAAGTGAGCATGTTATGAGGAGGTAAAGCAGGAGGTCAGGAAATTAGATCAGACAGCTAATATTATTTGTGTGCCTGAGTGTCCATCTGAGAGTGTATACTTATTCCTAGAAGAAGGTGCGGCTGAGCAGGATGAATCATGAATGTGGTAGATGGCAACATCACATTGGTGAGGAATACAGATTGTTTCACTAGGGAAATTAACCTGAACACACAGAAACAGCTCTGCTAAGAGAATAGTCGAGACAAGTAAGTGGGGAAGAGAGAAATGAGGAAAAGTGGACTTGTGATTGTACAGAAATCCAGATCAAAATTGTAGGTCACGCTCACATATGTCAGTCAATTGTAGCAGCCATGTTGGATTTCAGTCAGTAAGTCTTTGTTCAAATAGGTTTAAGCCATATTGGGACTGTATCACTGGAATCAAGCAAATCCATTTAACTCCAGCTACGTCTTTTAAAGTGAAATAACAGCATTGTTGAAAGGTACATCAAATTAAAACTAGGACTGCAGTATGTCAAACCTATGGTCTCTGCCCTCTAGCTCTGATGGAGAGTTCTGAAGTGTGTTTTCAGTTGTCATAGGAGAGTATCACCAATCACATTCTGGTGTCTGGGATTCTGGGATTTTGAGGGAATGCTCTGTCATAGGTCTAAAGAAAGTAGAAAGATAGGTGTGCATTACTTGTAATCCAATGCACCCCAAGATGGTAGATGCATAGTACATCACCAGCAAGTCTGCACACTCAGATCATCCATTCCTTAAGACCTTGACTACATCCAACAGTCTGCTTCTTTCTATTTGTTGAACCATGCTGTAAGACAGAGACATGCAATTATTGGAAAAATAAACAAATCCTTCTTTTTCTTCCTCCTAAAATAATGAGGTGGGAAAGAGTACATCTGTAGGTAATCCCACCTGCTTTTCAATCTGCCCTTCTGCAGAACTGACCAAGCACATTTTGTTGTTTAGGCCATAAGAAAGTATCTATCAAATCATCTATCAAAGTCCGTCTTTTATAAATCAGCTTCATTTCCAGCAAATGCTTGGAAGACTCAAAGACTAAAATAAGTAGTGGCTAGCCCCAGGAAGAAAACTTAGATCCTTCAACTAACCCAAGAGCTTCAATAAATTAGAATAATTATTCAGTGTAATTGAATGTTGCATAAACATACTGTAGTTGTGTGTGCCATGTGGTATTTAGTATGATTTGAACAAAGGGCTCTAGAGAAGATTCTGCATTTAGCTGTGTGACAATAATGAGCAAAATAATGACTCGGGTGTGTTGAATATGTCATATCTCATTCTCTTTACCATCTGGTACAAAGCTTAGTCATGTACTGTTCAGGTGATGGGGCATTTGTCTGTAGGATGACTTAAGCATCAGACATACATCAAGTTATAATTTTACCAAAGAACAACACTTGCACGCAGACAGATGTTTTCAGTGTTGCATGTTTTGTGTGAAAAATTCCATTATAGCTTAAAGGCTTTAAAAGATTGTCTAAGCATAGTGGAATTCACTTCTTAACCAGACCTATCATTATAAATTAACCACACTTAGGAAATTTAAACACCTGTAAGTCCAAAACGCTACTTAACGCTAAAATATTATTAAGAAATTATAAGTTAAAATTTCTGTTTTAACAGCTGAATTTTAAGTACTTCAGCAAATATTGCCTTTTCATATTTCCTGTTCTTAATTACACATGACTCAATGGTACTTTATTATAAGACTAAACTCTGAGTAGTATTTCACAATGATAAGCAAAATATATATCCCCCCTGCTATTGAAGCCAGCTTTCTATATGCTGCTAATTAGATAAATAATTATCTGTTAGAACCCCTTTTTCTTGACCCATTTTTTAAAGTTCTTATATAAAAAAGTATTATATCTTAATAGAATTACATAAATATTACAGCAAAAACTCACCACAATTACAGAGGATTTAGCTGAGCCAATATAATACAGATAAAATATTTTTTATTATGATTGCCAATTTCTTTAATTCAATTAGGACATACACATGGAGTTCTCTAAGAACAACACAGCCTCCATCTCATTACCCTTAGTTAAAAATGGAAAAGACCAGATACCAGAAGTAGACTGAATGAAAATCTACTTAGCCAGAATCACCTTAGCCTCAATACTTGAAAATTTTCCTGTTTGCTGTGTCTAAAATGCAAACATATGACTGACTAGTCTTGACAACACATCATAAAGCAAAGTGGGGCCTCATAAACTGTTTTCATGGATGTATATCCTTTGTCATGTCTCCACCAACCTGGGTGTTACTATTTCACTACAGGTGGTCTTATGTTTTTATGAAATAGCGTCCTGGTTTCAGCTGGGACAGAATTAATTTACTTCCTAGCAGCTGGCATAGTGATGAGTTCTTTATCTCAATTTTTAAAAGGAATTTTATTATTTTTGTGATTCTCTCCCCCCATCCCACTGGGGTGGAATGAGTGAATGGCTGCATGCTGTTTGGCTGCCTGATAGGTTAAACCACAACACACAGAAACAACTTAGCTCAAACACAGTTTTATATGCACACAAACTAAAAATAGCAGTTAATGATGATGTGAAATCAATTGGAAGTCATAGCCAGGGAAAATGAATTTCTGTTATAAAGAGGATGATAATTTTGGAGATGAGATCTGAAAAACATATAAATTTTAATATTAGACTTGAAAGCAGCCTGGAGCTAGAAAACAAATTAGACAGCACTTTTGAGGGCTTATTTAGGATGCAGATAGGAAAGAAGTGTCCTGTTTGGGTGTCCTTGGGTGGCATGGTCTAGTGTGAGGTGTCCCTGTCCATGGCAGTGGGGTTGGAACTAGATGATCTTAAGGTCCTTTCCAACCCTAACTATTCTATGATTCTATGACCATAAACATATTTCAAAAACTTTGACAAATGCATAGAAGAAATTAATGAGCAAGAGACATATCTGAATGCTACGTTTTACTGTTGTAACATGAGAAAAACAGAAAGACTGAACTTAAAGATACAGTTGATCTTACATGTGCTGCATTTCATTAAAAGCAGAAATACAAGCAGGCTCAAGCAAGCTTTTCTTTTTTTCCTCTCTTTTTTGTGTCTTTCTTTTTCTTTTTTTTTTCTTATAATATCTTACCATGATGTTTTCAACTGTAAGAAGTAAAGCCAGCAGACCAAAATCCTGAAGCTAAATTATTTTTTTTTCCAGGACAAAACCACAGAGACTTCAGCCTAGTGAATCTCAAATACCACTACTTGCTTTACCTGTGATTCCTGGTGAAATCTTGCAGGACCCAGATTTTTTTTATGAAGGTACTCACTAGTGAAATTCAGTCATCATAGAAGGCTGTTAGTGTTCTGATGGAAGGTATGATGTCATTTGACTCAAAAGACACTACAGACATACATGATTCTGCTTTTCTGAGAAAGGATTGGCAATTATGTGGAGGTTTTATTGTCTTCATTCAGAATAGACTTTGAGCAAGAATTCAGATGTAGGTCATATAGATGACTCCTTTGTAAAGAATTTTGAACTCCAGAGACCAGTTACACAAGTTGAATATTCAAAATATGGTGGCATACTAAAAAAAAGCCAGAATACAGAAGTGCAGAGGTTAGTTGAGCCCATTTTGAGAAGCGGACACATGGGAGAGTTCTGTTGCTCTCACCTAACTTTAGCAAATGACAATATAAATAAAGCAGCATTCATTCTAGATCATCTCAGTTTTCTTCACTTCAGTTGAGAATTTGTAAGTGTTTTGCACTTTTTTTTTTTTTTTTGCAATTTGCTTACATTGAAACTTTCTGCTTGTTTTATTATGGAAACTGTGATGTTGTTATTTTGAGAAATCAGTGACCTCCGTAGGGCTTAAAGACAAGGTATACAATGGTTCAGAACTAATATCACAAATTAAGAAATATTTCTAGATGGTTAACAAAATCTCCTGTGCAATAAAAATTTATTTGTTCACAAGAATTACATCTTGATGTCCACTTGACAGCTCCCTTATCAAAGACCAGTTTGCTTAAACATTTATCAAACATTCAATACAACTGACAGGCAAAGGTCTTTCAGTGAGCACCTGAAAACACTTTCTCTACTACATAGCTTAGGCTGTGTAAAGTAATTCTAAAGTTTGCCTTAATCACAGGCAGAATCAGGACCTTATCACCCAAGAAGAGGACCATTTTTACTCATTTGACTTAGGCATAAACAAATTCTCTCTTAGTTCTTAAGCTCTACTGACACGAGGTTGTTGCTTCAGGCTCTACATTTATTTGGTGACAGAAGCAAAAATCCTATTGAATACTGCCACACAAAGTTAAAAGTTAAAACCACTGCAAAACAATAACTGAAATTACACCAGAGGGAAAGATATAGGGGAAATATACCAAAAGAGAAACATGCTTTAGAGTGATGACTTTAAAAGAATAATTGAGTTCAACGGACATCTGTGAAAAGGTAACAGGAGAAATTCAGCAGATTTCTACAGAGCAGTGAAGTTTAGAAAGTTTAGGGAGGTTAGAAAGTTCTAGGAAGAGATGTAACTCTATCCCAGCCAAAACCAGAACATCAGAAAATGATGGAAGATTTTGCAAAAGATGAAGAAAGGGAAACAAGTGCAATAAGTTTTAAGAAGATTTTTCTGTTAATATAGGTCACATAGGATCTGGATCTCATCTGACACTAGACTAGATCAGTGACCTTAGAAATTGGAATCTGAATGAAGAAATTAAGCTTACAAACATGCATTTAATATACTTAGTTTCAATGGACCCTTAACAAACACTGTTCTGTTTTTCACACTGGTGAGCATGAGTGGTCAGACTCAGGAGGTGGGAATGTCAGCAAAATCCTCCCTGCAGTACACTGCCAATCTGCTTCCACAGTGGTGTATTGTTCCTCTGCTCTCCTTCAATTGCCTGACCAAAGGGTGTTTGCCTATCGAAGCAGCCTGACATCTAGGGAAATTAAAATCAAAGCAAAGCTATCAAATTCTTCTATATTTCTTGCTGTGGTCAATCCGCAAGTGGTTGTTTTGTACACAAGGAGCAGATCAAGCATCTCCTCTGTCATATAAACCTATGGGTTTTTTTAGAAAAATATGTTAGGAGAAGCGCACAGCTCTATGGTAATGGAGAAAACCACAGGCAGAAATAAAACCAAATGGCAATGCAGAACTCTGTGCAAGAAAAGAATTTACCAGAAAAGAAGGAGAATATGTTAATTGAAGACTTATTTTTGCATTTGTCTATATGGACATGCTCTCAGATTTTATAAAAATACCACTTTTAGATACCATTTTTTTACCTAGACAATACATTATGAAAATCTTTATAACAATTAATTACTTACTTTCTGGATACTTGTATCCTCAGTAAGGTACCTGAGCCTCAGATCAGAGTTCTGTTTCAACAGTTTTACAGTCTTAGCATGCTTATTAAGGAGACCTTGTATTTCCAAGCAATCACCTTAGAAGCTTCACTACAAGAAAAGAATGTGCAAGAAGACTTGGTAAGATTAGTGTGCACAAGCAATGCCATGCATTAGGTATGCAGCAGAAGAAACCCAACTTGCACCTCAAGTGTGACACAAACTGTGACAACAGTGCAAAGCCATCCTCCATTTACAGTCCTTACATACTCACTACGGGTCTAACTGATAACCATGTACACCGTAGGTCTTGGAGCTCCACTGGTGTGACCTAAGGTCCTATGTGAAATGGCGGCAGAAAACTGTGTATGCATAAGTCTTAACTATAGATACTGGTTGCTTTTCGACCCTGTGGATTTTCCATCAGTACCATTTTCCATTTATAATGAAAAGGGATTTTCTTACACATCAGTCATAAAAGTGGTTTTAAAGCTTCAGGACACTAAATATACAGGTAAATAATACCAAATTAAAATGTAAAATCTGTCACATACCCTTCTGCCCTCCATGCAGTGCTGGAGCTCGGGCTTCGCTAGCACCGCATATTGGCAACCATGGGGCTGCCATGTTATTTCTCTCCAGTCACAGGTCCTGTTGTCAGAGCAGCTGAGGCAAGGGACAATCCACTGGCCTGGAAAACAGAAACAGGATGTCAACACCTCCTCTGCATTTTTGTGAATGGCTTTATTATACAGCAAGCAAGATATTTTTGAGTATGTTGTCATGGGAGTTAGTAGGTCAAGAGAGGTCCTCCTTCCCCTCTACTCTGCCCTGGTGAGACCTCATCTGGAATATTGTGTCCAGTTCTGGGCCCCTCAGTTTAAAAAGGACAGGGACCTGCTGGAGAGAGTCCAGCGCAGGGCAACTAAGATGATTAAGGGAGTGGAGCATCTCCCTTATGAGGAAAGACTGAGGGAGCTGGGTCTCTATAGTTTGGAGAAGAGGAGATTGAGGGGTGACCTTATTAGTGTATATAAATATATAAAGGGGGAGTGTCACGAGGATGGAGCCAGGCTCTTCTCAGTGGCAAACAATGAAAGGACAAGGGGTAATGGGTACAAATTGGAGCACAAGAGGTTCCACTTAAACCTGAGAAGAAACTTCTTCTCAGTGAGGGTGACGGAACACTGGATGATCTTTTGAGGTCCCTTCCAATCTCTAACATACTATGATACTGTGATACTGTGAGTTTTCCCTAAGTTAAATGCCCCCGACCCTTTGAAGAGACTTTCCTTCCTCTGTGTTATGCCCTGTTCATTTAGCTAGTGTGGGAGGTTTCCGTTTCCCTGAAAGAGCTGCGAAGGCTCAAATTTGACAGTTGCTCATGGGTTCATTTCTCAGTTCATGTTGCCCTTCTCGTAGCAGCTTGTCCTTTCTTCACAGAAGGGGTACGAGAAAGGGAAAAGGGTTGAGGAGACTGAAGGCAAAAAGAAAATATCCGTATTCAGAAGGGCCTAAAGACAAGATTCGTTCTCACCTACAATTAAACATCTAAAAGTTGGGTTGTTGGTTGAAGCTAGACTTCGATAGCCCCTTGAGAGAAAAATGAAACAAGAGAGACAATGACTTTCCCTCAAAATACTGATTTCTTTGATTTGTGAGAATTCAGAGGGCTGTCCCAGACTACACATATACATTTCAGAAGGTGGAAGTAAGGTCAGGTGAATAACCTATGTGATTTATTAGAGCCTGATTTTCCTATTTTCAAAAATCATTTTTCAGATTAGGAGCATAAAGTGGAATTACCAGAAGTCAGTTTGGTTTAGGCATCTCTTGCCTAAGGTTGAGTGGTTTTGTTATGTTAGTTTTCTAAAGCTATTAATTTACAAAATCCTACTGGAAGTCTGAGGGATTTAACTTCTGAAGGAAGACAGAAATCAAATTTTGAGTTACCTTTTATTTTCAAATCAACACAAGGAACACTTTTTTTCTAGCACATACAAGTGCACTTTCCTAACAATATCTCCGAGTGCCTATGTAGCTCTGTCAGCAAAACATGCTTTCGCTCTGATTAAAGGCATTACACAATGAAGATTGCAGAGGCCCTGAGGTCCCTGTGTCAATGCTATTAGGCCTCCCTAACACAGCCAGGTTTCTCACTGCAGCCCATCAAACAGCTCCAAAAGCAAACATTTGCAGAGTAGTCCTGGCCTTAGTGTTTGTGACCATCACTGCTACCAGACAGCAGCTTCACAGGCGAATGGGTGAGCTTTGCCGTGTGTGATACATTGCTGCTACACAAGAAGCCACAGCAAAAAACCTAGGCTATAAGTGCCTATCAACACTTATCAAGTCTGGGACAGAGTGGGAGGCAGAGTGAAGCAACCCTGATGATCCCAGTGGCCTTGGGGGAGTCAGCTACCAATCTGGGAGCAAGGGAACTTCCAGGGAGGAAGCCTGCGCTTGTGGCAAGCACAAGCCCCATGTGAGTATGTTTTGGTAGGTGGCAGGGTGAGTTGTCTCAGCAGATAAAGATGTCCATCTAAATAAAAACATCAAGAACTGGTACATCTAAGGACAGAATATAACCCGCAATGCTATGGGAATATAACCCATAAATATATATTCCATATATATATTTCATATATTTGTGCACAAGTCCATGGGACCTGATGATATCCATCCACAGGTCCTGAAGGAGCTGGCAAATGAAGTTGCTAAGCCACTGTAAATCATATCTGAAAAATCATGGCAATCAGGTGAAGTTCCTGATGGCTGGAAAAAGGGAAATACAACCCCCATTTTCAAGAAGGAGAAAATGGATGACCCAGGGAACTACAGACCAGTCAGTCTCATCTCTGTGCCTGCCAAAATCTTGGAGCAGATTCTCCTGGAAGGCATGCTAAGGCACATGAAAAACAACAAGGTGCTTGGTGACAGCCAGCATGGCTTCACTAAGGGGAAATCCTGCCTGACCAATTTGGTGGCCTTCTATGATGGGGCTACAGAACTGATGGACAGGGGTAGAGCAGCTGATGTCATCTACCTGGACTTGTGCAAAGTGTTCAACACTGTCCCACACAACATCCTTATATCTGAATTGGAGAGACATCAATTTGATGAATGGATCACTCGGTGGATAAAAAACTGGCTGGATGGCCGCACGTAAAGAGTTGTGGTCAATGACTCGATGTCCAGCTGGAAACCAGTAACGAGTGGTGTCCTTCAGGGATCAGTGTTGGGACCGATCTTGTTCAACATCTTTGTTGCTGACACGAACAGTGGGATTGAGTGCGCCCTCAGCAAGTTTGCCAATGACACCAAGCTGTGTGGTTCGGCTGATACACTGGAGGGAAGGAATGCCATTCAGAGGGACCTTGACACGCTTGTGAGGTGGGCTGATGCCAACCTCATGAAGTTTAACCATGCCAACTGCAAGGTCCTACACCTGGGTCAGAGCAATTCCAAGCACAGCTACAGGCTGGGCAGAGAAGAGATTCAGAGCAGCCCTGCAGAGAAGGACTTGGGGGTGCTGGTAGATGAGAAAATGAACATGAGCCGCCTTCAGTGTGCGCTCACAGCCCAGAAAGCCAACCGTATCCCGGGCTGCATCAAAAGGAGTGTGACCAGCAGGTTGAAGGTGGTGATCCTGCCCCTTTATTCTGCTCTCATGAGACATCCCTTGGAGTATTATGTGCGGTTCTGGTGTCCTTCTTTATTTCAGCAGATAAAGAAGTCCATCTAAATAAAAACATCAAGAACTGGTACATCTAAGGACATAGAAAATTCTACATAAAAGGACATAGAACCTACATAAAAAGGACATGGAACTGTTGGAACAAGTGCAGAGGAGGGCCACGAGGATGATCAGGGGACTGGAGCACCTCCCGTATGAAGAGAAACTGAGAAAGTTGGGTCTGTTCAGCCTGGAGAAGAGAAGGCTGCGTGGAGACCTCATAGCAGCCTTCCAGTATCCGAAGGAGGCCTTAAAGATGCTGGGGAGGGACTCTTCATTAGAGACTGTAGTGACAGGACAAGGGGTAACAGGTTAAAACTTAAAGAGGGGAAGTTTAGACTGGATATAAAGAGAAATTCTTTACTGTAAGGGTAGTGAGGCACTGGAATGGGTTGCCCAGGGAAGTTGTGAATGCTCCATTCCTGGTCGTGTTCAAGGTCAGGCTGGACAGAACCTTGGGTGATATGGCTTAGAGCGAGGTGTCCCTGCCCATGGCAGGGGAGTTGGAACTTGATGATCTCAAGGTCCTTCCCAACCCTAACTATTCTATGATTCTATATGGGAGTATAACCCACAGCAGCCTTATCTGCTGTGTAGCTTTTGTTCTACGCAGAACATGCTCACCCCACTCTCAGCTACACATGCAGATGACATGGAGCAAATAACGGCAGACTGAACCTAAACACTGATTTCCCTACCCTGTGTGTCATTGAACGTAAACCAGCTTCCCTGGTTCTCATGGATGTGGCTGCTGCCAAGCAAACAGCCCAGTTCAACATTGAAGGAGGGGAAGGAGGGACTCTCAGGACCATGGTGGCATTTAAGGGAGATGGAGCTGCCCAGAGCTCCTTGATCAAAGGAGTGTCAAACTTGCATTGTCTGTGTTCTAATCACCTAGTTGTTTGTCCTTAAGGACAATGTTCCCCACAATGTTCTTACTAGTTGAGGACCACTTCAAACTTCAGAATTCATTAGCACAAGAAAATAACATCACTGTAACCTAGAAATATTTTGTGGGAGAAGAGGTTGTGGCCTCCTGGCCACCACTGGGACAAGGCACACTTTGGTTCTGTAAGATTTCTATCTCCACTTGTGTATCTTGCCCTTACCTCCCTCTGCGCCTCCTTTGCAACTCGTGACTAAAGGGTCATTCCCAGCTCCATAGCAGTCATATGAAGAGATTGAAAAGTGCAAAGTCTCAGGACACACAGTAATAGGTGTCATGCAAGGATCTTTTAGTGTTTTGTGACTTTTGAGTAACAGAGCATGGACAGAATAGTTGGTTGGTTTAAGGTCTGGACTCATACTACTGTAAAGATCTTTATAAATGAGCTGAATGTTGTTTTGGGCAGTTCTTTCCCTGACATTGTAATTTTTCTTTCAAGCCAAATACACAAAAGTTCTGGCAATGTCTACAACATCTGAGATCCCTCATTTTACTGAATTTTCTTAACATCCCATGCATTTATGAGCTGATCTGGTTTTAGGTAATAAACTAGAAAAGTAGAACTATATAAAATGAATATTGAGAAGCTGAAACATTTGAACAATAAACGTTTCAACTTTGGCAACTGAAAGTGATAAGTACCTTTTAAAAAACAACTTTCAAATACTTTGATTTATATTGAATAGGTCTCTAGGTACATTAAGAAAAAAATATGCCAGGTTTTGGCATATGCTAAAGGTTAGTGGGAAATGTTAAAAAAAAAAAATAGAACAAGTATATATGGAGAAAAACTCAAGTTTATAGGAAGCACTGACATTTACTGCTAACAGAATAGCTGCAGGTTTTATATTTATATAGATTTCTTTAAATTGTGTGTAAATTTATGCAATTTTTATCCAATTATTATGAACTTTTCCTATAGTAACTTCACAACAGTTAGTCAATGTATTCTTAACCTTTAAAAATAAGATTGTGTTGAAAGATGAAATGAGTCTCATATATAAAAGAAGAAATATTGCAAACAATCAATATCAGTTGGGAAATTAAGCTTATTTTCTATTGAAATTATAACCTGCTTTTTCCCCCATTTATATAAGGCAGCAGCACGCAAAGTAGCTTTCAGCACCACTTCAATCAATTTTGTGGTGCTCTGGTAATCGGACCTACCAGGCCATGGAAAATTTACCTACTATTCAGTGAAAGAGAGCTGGAGAGAGCTGCTGTTAGTTTATTCACGAATTAAACACAGATAAAAGCAAAATTTTATGGAAACCCATAAATGTGAGTTTTCCACAGGAAAAGTGAAAGTAAACTGGATTTTTGGCTCATCAAAGCCATTTATCATCTCGTGTATAAATCTTCTCCTTAACATATGAGATTAAATATTGACAGTACTTCCAAAATCCGCTCTCTTAAAAAGGCATGAAAAGAAATATACTCTTAAAATAATGTATTGGATTGTTTACCTTGTATTAAAATATATTAGTCCAAAGTGAAAAGTTTTAACCAATAAAGATAGTTTTGTTTCTCCCTTCAGCCTCTTTTGGTTTTATTCAACCTTTCCCACTGACATAGCCACAAATACACATCTTATGCTTTCAAGAGCAAAATCAAAGTTTTCCAATAGTGCTAAACAATTACTCATATAAAAGGAAAAATTATATTCTAAACTGACAACTCAGATTTTAAATACTCAACCAAAACTAATGCTAAAGATAGTTTGACGATTTATGACTAGTTTAATTTTATATTTGATGTCTATTTGGCACACTAAGACTTTGAAAAATGTTTTCTCCATGAATGTGCTGTAGGTTTCTTTAGCTTTTAGCTGCCCTCATGAAAAACAAAACTGAAATTACATTTAAAGGACACAATTTTGTTGCTACAGAGTAAATGGCCTTAGGCCTACAGTCGTATGTTCAAATTGAAATTTACTCCTTGTAACTAAAGGAGACGCTTGAACATTAGTTTATGTCTCTGCTGGACCCCAATCCAGATAGCTGTCAAACACAGAGAGATCACACAGAATTATGTTAAATTGGATATGCAGTAAGTGTGGAAATTGGGATACAACTAAAATGCGCATCTCACAGCAGCAAAGTGAATCTGTGATCTCTTACCATATTTTGTAATTATCTGCAAACCAAATTTCCAGAGTGCAGCAGCATGATTCACCTGCAGGGATTTAGTACAACTTGGGGTTTTTGTGGTATCTATCAATTATCTCTCTCTCTCTGAGGGGTCAAACACACAGTTGATGCTTCTGACTTATGTATAATATAGCAATACTGAACAGAGAGCTAATGTTCCTGTGATAACCTGATTCAAGTTCCATTGAATCAAAGGGAATTTTCTGAAGGAAAAAGGTTTTTAATAGCTATAAGAATCATAATTTCATTCCATGATCTGAACAAGATGTAAAGAGAGATCTTTCCCATGTGGAATAGTAAAAAAGAGGGAGAGATCTGGTGCAAATTAAGTGCATATTTGATAAGATACCGAGCTTCCTCAAAAGAATAGCGCCATGGTGACTAAGACAGGAGGAAGCCAGTTCCCTGAACTACTGTCTGTGTACTGCATCAAAGGACTAGAAATGAGGCTTGAAATCCTGGTTGTACTGAACTGCAAAGCAGACTGCTGTCTTACCATTAATCTTACCATTAATGTCAGAGGAACCAGAGTTTCATCTCTATCTCTGCTGCTGTGCCTCAGCCTCTGTAGGCACAAATATAGGCTTTTGCCAGCACAGCTACACTTTGCAGTGGTAGTAGCTCAGCACCCCTATACAACTAACCTCTTTCCTGGCATAAGATCAGTATATGACATTGCCTTACTTCTGCAGAAGTTCTGAGCTTTCTTCTGAGAGGAAATGACATTGCTTGGCTTCTCTGAACATTTATTTAAGTAAAAGAGACGTTGATGCTTTAGCTGGGAATTTACAATTGCTCCCACACGTGTTAGGAAAATGCTCACTGCCAGGATTGGGATCTCACTTGGCTGTTACAAATTTGGAATGGTTTTCCACAAAAACACCATGCTTTCCAGTTCCAGTTGGAAGCTGTGAAGTACATTAAAACTACACAGCCATTTGTTGCCAGATACTGCAGACATCAGTTCTAGGCTCATTAGATACCTCTTGGCAATCTTTGCTTTATAAGCACAAATTATTCTTCCCTTTTTAATACACTTGCCCTTTGAGACTACTTCTCCTGAAGTTTGTTTCCATTTTAATTGTGCATATTGTTCACAATAAGGCTGCAAAAGAGTATTTTATATTCAGCTTTACTTAGCTAGATGCATTATTCAAAAGAAACAGGTTACGCATCAGGAGAAATAGTTTATCTGCCCAAGAAGGATTCTATTGTGGATTTGGTTTGGGTTTTCTAGTCAGAAACTTTATGTCCTGATATAGTAGCATAAGATGGGTTCTGCTTCCTGTTATTCACAATTTGCTTTGTGATTATAATATACAATTTCTCCTTTGTGCATTCCGTTCATATAACACAAAATTAATATATGCATGTGTTTCACATGAAGTGATGCATTCAGGCAGTTCCCATATCCCTTTTACTTTGTATTGCTTATTCTGTGAGATTGTGCAAATTTATTGCTGTGAGAAGCTGTTTCTATCTTTGGCAAGATAAATAGAGTTTAGCAGACCATTCAGGAGTGTGGGGCTGTTTTTCATTTGTCTAACAAAGAATTAAACACAATTTATTATTGTCTAATCCAGCAACAACTTAAGCTATAAAACTGCATACCTGAGTAGTCCTGTGGAATACTCAGATTTGTTAAAGTACACTTGCATAAACCTTCATGCAGCTGTGACCTAAATATGACAATCTGTTGTAAGATGGGTTCTCACTAAACCAATGAGATATCTTGATTGTATTGGGTACTATATAATGTTTGGCTTGTCCATCTTGTTTTTAAGGTATCAATTTGTGCAAATCCACATACGTTAATCTGTGACTATTTTTGAGTTTCCCATATAGAAGTGGAAATATAAAATTCAAATGGATCACAATGTTGTATTCTTTTAGTAAAGCTAATTTTTATTTTTAGTAGGTAATCCCTTCCATTTAGAATAAAGCAATTTTATTTAAAATGGTTTTGTTGGACATATTTCAGTGCATTTTAAAGGCTACATGATAATAATACAAGCAGTGGTAGGTAACTGATTAGTTATCTACCTAATTGTGAACTAAAAATTGTCACAAACTAACTTGATTTTTAAAATCTGTAACTGTTAACAAGTAATTAGCTAAATTTACTGTATGTAGATTAGTGTATGTCCACAGAAAAGAGGAAACATTGCTTCTAGTTTTACTTTGATGAGGTGCAAGAATTAATTTTCAGAAGAAATAGGATTAACTGCAAACCTTTTGTGTCTCCAGCTTCACATGTCTTAAACGTCGTCTGTGAAATTGCTGAGAGGTATTCACGAGATAGAGGCTGCAAGCCACAGGACTCCTCTGGACGAATTCGAGACCCACAGTCCTGAATTAAAAGGAAATCTGTGAAAATGACAGTACTGCACCCATCCATATGACTTTGAAATCCTCTTCAACTACATTTAAAGAGAAAAGAAGTTATTTGAGGTTGGTTCTGCAATTCATTAATCCTTTGCTTTTACAGATATATTTTCAATATGAAATTTTGAATCCTTTTTCCATTCAGACAACGGTTTTGTAATAAATTGTCACAATCCACAGTAAATGTATAAGATACTACATTTGCTAAAGGTACAAGAAAATTTATTAAGTCAAATATATATAATATTCATGTAATGTCATGTTGTCTATAGTTAGTGCACAAGCTTTACCTATTTGACCTCAGTAATTTTGTACACATATTTGCAGTCATATGGAATACATTTCTGTGATAAAATGTTCCACATGAGCTTCAGTAGCTAGAGATGCATAAAGGAAAAGAGAAAGAAAAAAAATTTCAAGGGGAAAATATGTGAGCTGGTAAAATGCTTTGTAAAAGAAAGTTGTGGCCCTTTCTGGCCAAATGGAATATTAGTCATAATAATGTTCAATAATTCAAAAGTTCCCTTTTTAAAGAACTGCATATGCTTAGAACTACTAATTATTTACTACACAAATGGAAACACTCTTTGACTGGAGTGTTTTCACTTCGAGTAGAAGCATTCTTGAAACCTAGAAGAAGTCGTCATTTCTCTAAAAAAAGAAAAAAAAAATTCATTGGTACTTTCTTCACCAAAGTATGCTGATTTCTGTTATTATTTTCTAAAAATATATTAAAGTTAATTTGGCAACTGCCATGTGATATCATTCACTGTTTCCATGAAATTATGCTACATCTAGGATGCTAAAACTAAATTGGACCAATGAGCAACTAACAATAATGTTGGAATATTATCAAGGTGAAACTGAGTTTAATAGGATATGTGCCACTTATACAGATGGAGATAGGAATCCACCCTGAAATTCAGTAAATAGTGGTGAGTCTTGAATATGCAATCAAACCCAAAGTGAAATAGTTGTCTCACAATTATTCCGATCTCATTAAACTCCATGGTGGAAGGAAAAAAAAATAAAAATATCTTCCCACTGACTTTGAAGGGTGAAGGTCACTTCTATGCATAAAAAGTCAGATATGTGGTAGATATGTGTGGGTTCCTTGGTACAGTTGTCCCGTTCTCTGCTTAATGCTCTATAACTAGGGAAGATTTGACTATTATGACAAAATGAACAGCACAGTATCTTTCCGTGTTAAACTGTGATGCTGTCTTGGAGCCTCTGGGTCTGAACACACTGTACAGCTATTTGACAGTATTACTCCAACTAACATTAACATCAGAAAGTAAAACAATTTGCACAGGACTTCACAAGAAAGCCTGAAATTCCCAAATGTGTTGCCACCACTCTCAACATAATGCCATAAAATAACTTAACAGGGGTTTTCTTGTTCATACCTCTGCCCAGGGTATGTGTTTAAGGAAACGAAAATTGATTTTAATTGATTCCCTGGATGATATTATTAACAACAGTTGAATGTGGCTGGTTTATTACTAATCACAATCAATATGCAGGTCAAACTATATCACCGACTCCCTTTGACTCCATTGTGTTTTTGCAGTATGCAAACCATGAATTTTAAAGGACGCTGCATGTGTTTAATGTGCAATTTACATCTAAAACTATATGGCCATGAGAGATTGTGAATCACTGAACAAGCCTCATTTGCTTCATCTTTCCTTTTGCAGGAGACCAATACTTTACCATCATTATTGACATATTTAATATAATGCACAAAATGAATCTATGGCAGCTACAGATTTACTGCAGCTCCAGCAATGCATGGCACAGTAAGGCCTTTTCTAACTGCCTGAAGATTTTTTTAGAGTTTTCTTCAGGTGCTGCAGTGATATAAGATTGTTTTTGCCTTGCCCAAAGATTAAACATCTTGTGATCTTAAGTATGTTTAGTCATGGCAAAGATGAGATACAGACATGTAAACTTAAATGATAGCTCTTGCTCTCTATCTCTTCTTCCTGTGAGCCTTCACTTTTAGAAGGCAGACATAAAAAGCCCCTTGAGATGTCTGGACTAGAATCAAAAGAAAAATTCCCCTGCCTTATGTACTGCAGTGCACAGTTAGAACAGACATTTCTAAGACTGGTTTGGCATTTTACTAGTAAAATTTCTTTTATCTTTGCGGAAGATTTTCTGGACGCCAGCAAATAAAAGAGGAACAAAACTTTGCTCTGTACATCTAGAGAGCTTTCAGTCAGCATCAGCTGACAGAGTGAACATTTCCATCTGCTGTGTGAAAAAAATTTGTTTCTGTTCAGACCACACTATAGTGAACTTAATTCTTCATGAAATTTTAGCCTTTAAGAGTTCACACAGATGTCTGAGTCTGCTGCTTTACAGTTCTCTCAAATTATTAATTTGGAGGTATTGATGCATATGTTATTTAATTTATTTATAGTTTAGGTACCCAATTTAGTGAGAATTTTGTTTGTTTAGCTCAGCTTTCTATAACCACACTTATTTCCTCTCAGTTATGTACTTATGCATACGCAGACATATAAAGAAACATAGATTCATTAAGTGTATATAAATATTTAAGAAAAATGCCTGGTTTAAGATCATATAGATGTGTGTGATAGAGTAAGAGAAATAACCAATGGCTTTATAAAGAAGATCCACACTCATGCAGCTATTATCATGGCTTGAATGTCATACAGATAATACCATTGTAGTTGCAGTTATGCTTTAGATTAAGAGATCTAACTTAACTATTAATGAATTTTTAACTGTTGTACCTTTTTACCACCTCCACCCTAGTGAAAGAATGATTAGGAGCGTGACCAGCAGGTCGAAGGAGGTGATCCTGCACCTTTATTCTGCTCTCGTGAGACCTCCCTTGGAGTATTGTGCACAGTTCTGGTGTCCTCAACATAAAAAGGACATGGAACTGTTGGAACAAGTCCAGAGGAGGGCCACGAGGATGATCAGGGGACTGGAGCACCTCCCGTATGACGATCGGCTGAGAAAGCTGGGACAGTTCAGCCTGGAGAAGAGAAGGCTGCGTGGAGATCTCATAGCAGCCTTCCAGTATCTGAAGGGGTCATATAGCGATGCTGGGGATGGACTCTTCATTAGAGACTGTAGTGACAGGACAAGGGGTAACAGGTTAAAACTTAAACAGGGGAAGTTTAGATTGGATATAAGGAGGTAATTCTTTCTTTTAGGGTAGTGAGGCACTGGAATAGGTTGTCCAGGGAGGTTGTGAATGCTTCATCTCTGGCAGTGTTCAAGGCTAGGTTGGACGAAGCCTTGGGTAATATGGTTTAGTGTGAGGTGTCCCTGCCCATGGCAGGGGGGTTGGAACTTGACGATCTTAAGGTCCTTTCCAACCCTAACTATTCTATGATTCTATGATTAGCCTGAAATTGCAGTAACTGCCTACAAATCAACCCCATAAGCTTCTAGCAAACTGGAAGCAAAGGAGGGAAGATAAGAAGTCCATGACTTTCCTGGGAAAAGTTACACAGAATAGGGAAAATTGTCCGTCTGTGTTTGTTTGATTGGTTGGTGCTGCAACAGTGACAGTGCACGACATAACAAAAATAAAGTCACTTTTAGCATCTTCGGCTGCTGCTACCTGTCAGCTCAAAATGACATTTTAAAATAGGAAGGTAGGGTTTTCAGAATTTTTCCAGAAAAACTCAAATCTGTTACTCAAAGCTGATGCCAAAACTATTATCTTTAGTGGACTTAGATTTATATTAATGAAATGAATGCTGTGGAAACTCCTACCCAGGATGCCTGTATCAAAGATCTGTACTCAGCTTTCTCAGTAAAAGTCTGTTTTGTTTGGGTTTTTTTTTATTAAATTCCCCAGCAATCAATGGGAATGGTGGCTCAATACTTCAAAAAACAGGTAATTTCTCCTTAGCTTTTCGTGTCTGAAATAGCACCCAGCCCAAATCACTGCAGGCTACCCCTACCAGACTAATAAAGGATTAACATATCAGAATGTTTTAAACTAAGCAGCAGGAGAAACATAACTAAACTCACAGGAATTCATTTTAGCATTACACACAACAAACATATAGCCGAAATCCTGCATAGTTTTAACATCCAGAGCCCCAGGTGTCTGGGAACTAGTGGATGAGGTAAACCTCACTTACTAGTTCTCATCAAAGAAGGCAGGAGACCTCTCCATCCATCGAGCTCTGCCCCTGCTGTCCTTCAACTAGTGTTGTGCATCAGACCAGCAGGTCACCCAATCACCTCCCTTAAGGCACAACCCTGCCTCAACTTATGCTGCTACCAGGACTGCCTTAGTTCTTTTGACTGTTCACATTTTAGACATGATACAACAAATTTTCCTGTGACAGGTAATTTCGAAAGGTTTCCTGTTGGCCTTTGTAGGCTTAACTTTATTTGATCTGGTTCTATTTAAGCTGACCCAAGTTTCTCATTAAATTCTTTCATGTCTCTTTAAGTCCATCTTTTTCTAGTATTTTAAACATTACCAAAACTGGATGAAAAGTGATTAAAAATGATGCTATGGAAGGAATTCTAATAAAATTAGTCAAAGAGTGAGCTCATGAAATAGTGAAATTGTATCTTATTGCTAGGGAATAAATTATGAGCAGATGGATTAGTTCCACTCTATCAACTTTATTAATATGGCAGTAATAAATGAAGGAACAGTTGGCATATTGAATTCTATTCAACCATCTCCCTCTGTCCAGCTGCAGTGATAGATGAACCTCCAAAGATTCAGAGGTTCAGGCTGGTTCAGTTCAGCACCCAAATTAACTAGACTGAGCTGAAACTTGTGGGTTTACAAAATAGGTTTAGAAAGCTCTAACAGGGAGCAAGGCACTCTCCCAAGAAATTGTAGTTCACTCCTGCATTCGGCTAGGAAACAATGACTATTATTATTAATCGAGCGCGAAGACATAAACAAAGACATTGCCTACATCAAAGGACACACAAATCCATTAAACA